ACGCAAATCCATTGACGTACACCCCATACACGAGGTCTCAGTTACACAAATCCATTCATGTTCACCCCATATATATATGAGATCTCAGTTACACAAATCCATTGATGTACATCCCATACACGAGGTCTCATTTACACAAATTCATTACTGTACATTCCATGCACGAAATCTCAGTTAAACAAATCCATTGGTGTACAACCCATACACGAGATTTCAGTTGCACAATGCATCTATAATGTACACCCCATACTCGAGGTCTCAGTTACACAATGCATTTATAATGTACACCCCATGCACGAGATCTCAGTTAAAGAAATCCATTAATGTACACCCCATATACGAGGTCTCAGTTACAAAAATCTATTAATGTACACCCCATGCACGAGATCTCAGTTTAACAAATCCATTAATGTACACCCATACACGAGATCTCCGTCACGCATATCCACTGATGTACACCCATACACGAGATCTCCGTCACGCAAATCCATTAATGTACACCCCATGCACGGGATCTCAGTTAAACAAATCCATTAATGTACCCCATACGTGAGATCTCCGTTACACAAATCCATGATCTCCGTTACACAATGCATTAATGTCCACCCCATACACAAGATCTGTTACACAAATGCATTAGTACATGTTTATTTTCCCAGAGGGAACATTTAGGACATCGTCTCAAGGTGCATACACCTATTATTGGTCTACAGAGTTGAGATGTTTATTCGCACATAGTACAAACATTGCAACACGTTTCATTATTTCCACATTAAGAGGTTAAACTTATGAATTGTTATATTTACAAAATACGTTTGTGGCATAAATTGTTTTCTATGATGACTGTACGCGTAACATACAAGTAGGAAAAGATATTCATTTTCGATATTACAGCTATTACAGAGTTTACAAAATGTTTGATTTCTAGGAATATTATACCTTCCCGTTTCGATGTTTAAAATATGAGAAGAACAACGAAAACGAGCCACAACTCTTCTTAACTTATCAAGATTTAGTTATAATAAATATGGCTCAACAGTGACAACTGACTTAATTTGAAAATACGAACACATCTCAGAACTATTCACCAGAGCGGGGTGCCAATTCTGAGTTATAAGTGGCGTTTAATCTAAATTCAAATTATTCCAGAAAATGAACAGTGAAATCTTCACTTTGTGCTTCCCAGATATAGCCCAAAACATAAGTATAGAGCAAAGATTTAATTTTAGATGCCCAATTAGTCTTATTATTCTAATTTTATTCCGTATTTTAGGACACATGGCCCATAGTACAATTGTGTTGTAAGATATACAATCGTTGTCACATGACCAAAATTACATTAAGAAGATCTTAAGCTAAATATTTTTAGCAGATATATAGATGTTAAACGTAATATATTTACATCATGTGTGTTTAATATTTGTTGCAAAGTTAATCTAATTTTACAATATTTTTTGATGGACAAGAAGTATTCATTACGGAGTAATGCCCAATTAGTCTTACCAAGTGAGGTATCATCAGACATCATATTATAACCTTTACTGGGAAACCGAGAGTCGAGCATATTCAAACGTTTAGAGAAATATAGAGATGATATCTTCCACACTCACCGCAAACGCAGTGATCGGCGGTAGAAGATTTAACTGATTCTGTTTCCTCAACAGTATCTAGCCCCCATACATCAGCCCCGTATAAAAGGATAGAAACAACTGTTAAATCAAATATATCAATAATACATTATACTCTACTGGTTTAACGTTAGTAAGTTACAATGAAACCTCTTGTTAGAAAGACGTTTCAGAGAAGTCCAAAGCAATTTACCGTTATCAATTCTATCAATGATGGTCCTGCACAATTCCTGCTGAAAAAGAACCTTGTCCTCTGTAATGATAGATTTACAGCTATTTCGTGCCTTTAAATACATGTGTAAGTCATCAGAGATTTGACACCGACTGGACACCTTCAGTAAACGCAGTCTCTGACTATTATATCTACATTTTCTATCAACCATGTTTTTCTAAGTCAAGAACTAATTGTTTACACTTTTGTAGAAAATATATGCCTCATAACGACCCAGAACTATCTTTATGGCACTTCCATCAAAGTTGTAAAGGAGGCCAAGTTTTTGGGCCTAATTTTCGACTCCACTTTAACTTTTCATCCGCATATCAAATATCTCAAAAATAGATGCCTGAAGGCGGTTGACTTGTTAAATGTGGTTTCCAATTCTAAGTGGGGAGGGGATCAAGCTGCTCTCCTACATCTGTATCGATCATTGGTCCGTTCGAAACTTGATTATGGCTCCATCATATATGGCGGAGCCTGTAAAAGTAACCTTTAAATTCTTGATTCTGTCCAACATCAAGGTCTAAGACTATGTCTTGGGTCCTTTAGAACTTCTCCTGTTGACAGTCTCTATGTTGAGGCAGATGAGACATCCCTTAACCAACGTCGTATCAAATGAGCATTACAGTATATAACAAAACTATATTCTAACGAGTCTAATCCTGCATTTAACTGTGTTTTCAATCCTCTTTATGAGGATTTATACAACAAAAAGTCTTCTCTTGTTCCGCCTCTTGGGCTAAGAATTAAACCATTTATTTCTGCTGCCGGCATTGAGCTGGAAAATATATCTCCTTCCCGCCTTCTTTCTTCTCCTACTTGGAAACTGGTGAGGCCACAAGTTGACCTAACTCTGACAAAGTATAAGAAATCTGAAACTAATGAATTACAATATAAACAAGAATATAATCAATTAAAAAATCTATAATACATACAAATCTTTCTTTACAGAACAATATGTTCTAGAATACCGGATAACAGCTCTAGTTTTACAGCAGAAACAAACGTCATATTGACGGCTCTTAAATATATTCAAAGACATGCTAACCATACACAATATATAATCATTTCTGACTCTCTTTCTTGCTTTCAGGCTATACAAATTTATCTTGCAAACATCCACTTTTAATTGAAATAATCGAATTATATAATGATCTTGCCAATGGTCAATGCGACATCGTCTTCTGTTGGTTGCTCAGCCATGTTGGCATTTCTGGGAACCCAATAGCTGATCTTGCTGCTAAGGCAGCACTCAATAAATCTGGGACACCACTTCTTATTCCATACTTTGATTACAAAGCTAGCATTAGAACCTACATCCGTGATCTGATGCAAAAGAAGCGGGACACCCAAGTAGGTATTAACAAATTACATGAAATAAAACCTTATATTGGTTACACTGACTTGGGTTGTCATTCCAGATTTGAAGAGGTCATTATGCGACGAGGTCGGTTTGGCCACACACGTTATACTCATGAATACCTCTTAAAAGGTGAGGATCCTCCGTTTTGTATCCCTTGTGAGCATTCTGGGAACACAATGGCCGATCTTACTGCCAATGCAGCACTCAACAAATCTGTGACACCACTTCTTCTTCCATATTCTGATTACAGAACTAGCATTAGAACCTACATCCGTGATCTGATGAAGAAAAAATAGGACACCCAGGCAGGTATCAATAAATGACATGAAATAACACCTTATATTGGTTACACCTACTTGGGTTGTCAATCAAGATTTGAAGAGGTCATTATGCGACGATGCCGCATTGGCTATACGCGTTATACTCATAAATACCTTTTAAAAGGTGAAGATTCTCCGTTTTGTATCCCTTGTGATGAAAGAACCACGGTCAAGCATGTCCTGCTTGACTGTGTTGAATTCTCAATCATTAGGGCTAAATATTTCAAAGTAAAAACAAAATTATTGTTTAATCAAGAGATTGATTGATATGATGAATTCTGATTAATGTGTTTTGTAAATAACTATATTTTAAAGATTGGTAGTTTAGATTAGTAACTTAGATTGATAGTGGCTGTACCCTCAAAGGGGGTTAAAGTATTGTAAAATTATTGTCCTCCTGAGAGGGTACGTTGGCTAAATTTTCCTACAATCACCAATGGCTGAAGGAATACTGTAAATCCAGCTAGGGTCCATGCAGGTAGCAAAAGTAATGTAGGTCCCCATGGTTCCTAGTATGGCTGTACCCTCAAAGGGGGTTAAAGTATTGTAAAATTATTGTCCTCCTGAGAGGGTACGTTGGCTAAATTTTCCTACAATCACCAATGGCTGAAGGAATACTGTAAATCCAGCTAGGGTCCATGCAGGTAGCAAAAGTAATGTAGGTCCCCATGGTTCCTAGTATGGTGATCCCCTTCAGTTGTTGGCGATCTATAGCCCATGTTTTATACTGTATTGTCTTCTTTAATTGGAATGTTTTAACTTTGCTCGCTAGGTTTATATTGCCATCTGTGATTCTCTAGTATTTTTACTGTCCGTCGTCTACAGCTTTTAATCCTCCAAATGTTTTCACTTTTTACTGTATAAATTGTTTTCGTCACGATATGGCTGAGATATTGCCGATGTGACGTTAAATATTAACTCACTCACTCTATCAAACCATGCCTATTACAAACATTAGAGAGATGGGGTTTCTTCTTGCAATCTGCAGCGTTAAATAACAGGGTTGTTATCACATCCAAGGCAGGAATCAATAAGTTCGGAATGAATAAAATCAATGCATTTATTAAACACGGTTGCCAAATAAAATGATAACAAAAAATCTCAAAAATGGTCTCTTTTTTTATTCCACACAAAGCAAGGGACGGAATATCATAAAATGGTAGATATGTATAATACAGTTTTAATGAAACTTGGCCAAGTCAAATATTCGTACATATTCGTTTCATAAACCCAGCTATTACTGAGTGACAATGAAACTCATCTACAACTACAAGTTACCTGCACAATCATTTGCACTATATTCTGCCTTCTGCCTGTTTCAATCCATACGTTTGAAGGTCAGAGGTAAAGCCTTTTTGAATATATGAGGATTTTGAACATGTAATGTCAGTTTACAGTGCCGATGATATTGACCCTTTGAACTAACAGTTACACTCTCCCTCTGTGTTTGGAAATACTAACCTTTAAAGATTTGTTTTCTTTAACCAACCGCAACAGAGCATATCACCTACAATTATTCCGCAGCATGTCAACCATGACTGTTCATGTGATCCGTGTACAAGCGAGGGGAATTATTCTCTGTTGGCAGTGAGCGACAGAGTGAGACAGGTTGGTAGTCAGCGTTGTGAAGAACTCATTGCAGGTAAAGTAATGTAATGTGTATGTTGATACATTTGTGTATGGGAGATCACCTGTGGGGTGTATATGAGAAAGGTCTCGTGTATGGGGTGTACATCAATGCATTTTGGTGACAGAGATCTCGCGAATGGGCTGTACATTAATGCATTTGTGTAACGGAGATCGTGTGTATGGGTTGTACATCAATGCATTTGTGTGACAGAGATCTCGTGTATGGGGTGTACATTAATGGATTTTCGTGACATAGATCTGGTGTATGGGGTGTACATCAATGGATTTGTGTAACTGAGATCTCGTGTATGGGGTGTACATCAATGGATTTGCGTGTATGGTGTGTACATTAATGTCTTCGTGTGACGGAGATCTAGATCTAGATCTCGTGTATGGTGTGTACATTAATGCATTTGTGTGACGGAGATCTAGATCTAGATCTCGTGTATGGTGTGTACATTAATGCATTTGTGTGACGGAGATCTAGATCTAGATCTCGTGTATGGTGTGTACATTAATGCATTTGTGTGACGGAGATCTAGATCTAGATCTCGTGTATGGTGTGCATTAATGCATTAATTTGTGTACATTAATGCATTAACGGAGTGTAACGGATGCATCTAGATCGGTGATTCGTCTCGTGTATGGGTGTGTACATTAATGCATTGTGTAAGGGAGATTTCGTGTATGGGCTGTACATTAATGCATTGTGTAACGGAGATCTCGTGTATGGGCTGTACATTAATGCATTGTGTAAGGGAGATTTCGTGTATGGGGTGTACATTAATGCATTGTGTAAGGGAGATCTCGTGTATGGGGTGTACATTAATGCATTGTGTAAGGGAGATCTCGTGTATGGGCTGTACATTAATGCATTGTGTAAGGGAGATTTCGTGATGGGGTGTACATTAATGCATTATTAGTAAGGAGACTTGTACATTAATGGGTGTATGGGTACATTAATGCATTGTGTAGGGAGATCTCGTGTATGGGGTGTACATTAATGCATTGTGTATGGGAGTCGTGTATGGGGTGTACATTAATGCATTGTGTAATGCATTGTGGGAGATCGTGTATAAGGGGGGTGTACATTAATGCATTGTGTAAGGGAGATCTCGTGTATGGGGCTGTACATTAATGCATTGTGATCTCGTGTACATTAATGCATTGTAAGGGAGATCTCGTGGTGATGATTGTGTAAGGGAGACTTCGTGTATGGGGTGTACATTAATGCATTGTGTAAGGGAGATCTCGTGTATGGGGTGTACATTAATGCATTGTGTAAGGGAGATCTCGTGTATGGGGTGTACATTAATGCATTGTGTAAGGGAGATCTCGTGTATGGGGTGTACATTAATGCATTGTGTAAGGGAGATCTCGTGTATGGGTGTACATTAATGCATTGTGTAAGGGAGATCTCGTGTATGGGGTGTAATGCATTCGTGTATGGGGTGTACATTAATGCATTGTGTAAGGGAGATTGGGGTGTAATGCATTGTGGAGATGTATCGTGTATGGGGTGTACATCAATGCATTGTGTAAGGGAGATTTCGTGTATGGGGTGTACATTAATGCATTGTGTAAGGGAGATCTCGTGTATGGGGTGTACATTAATGCATTGTGTAAGGGAGATTTCGTGTATGGGGTGTACATTAATGCATTGTGTAAGGGAGATCTCGTGTATGGGGTGTACATTAATGCATTGTGTAAGGGAGATCTCGTGTATGGGGTGTACATTAATGCATTGTGTTAGGGAGATCTCGTGTATGGGTTGTACATTAATGCCATTGTGTGACGGATATCATTGATGCCATGCGTTATATATTATACCATCATGGTGTGTAGAAAGACATTTGTCGACAGTCAATTTTATAATTATTGTAATCTTGTGCACAATTACTCTTATTTCTTTAATCATGGACATGCTCTATAGCCAGGGATATGAGACAGTTTGCACCAGTTCCAGGTACAATATACCCAATGGCCCAATATCAACTGTATTTCTCAGTCCTGTCTCCATCTTGCTGTAGTGCACCACACGAAAGAACAGTATTTCACAAAGAACCATGTGAGGAAGTAAATTTATCCTACCAGGCACATATGACCGTTTAAAAATGTACGTGTCATTTTGCCGCCAAATTTGTATTTGGAAAAGTCAGGAAATAAAAAGATCATTTGTGAGACTGTGAACAAATAGAATTTTTTTCAATAATTTGTTAATGTGACTGCACTGCCAGTAATGGCTGGTTCGTGAAACATCCACGCCTGTCACATAATGAAGTGATTGGTAACATATGGTGTAGAGATCAACTCTTCAAGAAATATTTCCCGTGTTGGCTGAATATGTGTAACCCTAACTTCATCGACGCATGACACTGAATTGATATTAGGTTTTAACTAAGCAAGGCCTCTCAGAATGTACCAGATATATGTATTTGATATGAAACAAATATGCAGAGTAATCATTTGACATGACTAAATATGCATAATGTGTGTGTACACTCTCCAACACGTTTAAATCCATATGTAGTTAGAACCAAGGACATGATCCATATGAGCAGATGTCCATAAACATACCAATAATCCAATAGCAAACATCTCCCACATACTATCAGTGAATTCAGAAGTAAATTTAAACTTGTAATTTAAACTTCAGGTGGACGAATACGTTTTAGGCCTACTTTGTGTTACATTAAAAGTCATAGACATTCACAATCTGCTGGAACTGAGTAAGTCGCCATGAATGATACAATAAGATACACGCGTTGTTATAGGTTAGGTGATGTTATAACACGGGAACACTCCTCGTATTCCATTGAATATTTCAGCAACTTTCTTGAGATTCTACAGAACAGCTTTCTGGGATTTAGAAACCTGAAACCACACATGTATGGTGATATCCGGCCAAACTGTCTGTATTCTAAAGAGAATGATGTTTCCTCATAAGTGCCTTTGTAGGCTGTACCTCTTCATGACAATATCCTAAGTTATGTTTTAATCTATTCCTCCTGCTAGATAACAGCTTGTGTCCGATTCACCTTCAAACTTCGCTAGGTTCCAATCGAAAACAGTGATGTGTATGTCTTGTCTAAAAAGGGTATGCTAATTAAATTGATCACAACGAAACCTCGCATCATAATATAATAAAGAATTTGTCATCCATGAAGTACCATACCTTTCCTATTATTTTATCAACTTCTATTAATATTCTTCCAGACATCGTATTCACTATACATGGAAAATGGGTGCTCACGTCCCCGTTTATTCCACTGATTCAAGTACGCACACATCGGGTATAAACTAATGAAAAGAGCACTTTATTGACAGCTGCTTTGTTCTGAATCTGATATGTAGAGGATACTAAACGACATTCCGTGTATTACCATTTTTATTAAACGAGTTAATGATTTGATATCAAACGAGCGAAAACGAGTCTGATACTCAATCTTTCACGAGTCTTTCATTGAGCAGTTGCTGATGCTACCATGGGAGACGGCCGAAACGGCCGGCTGATGACATTTCACTGCTGTACCCGTACTCGATGCCAATGAGTGCAGACAGAAAAATGACCTTTTGGTTTACTTTTGTGTTTACAATGTCGATAAACATCATGTGTTGGCCAATTTCCGGATGTTATTGAGTATTTGAAGTATGGGAATATTTCACTAGTAACACGTATAAGAAAAGTATTGGTTTTATTCGTGTCTTATCACACACTACTGATAGAAAGTAAGCTTTCTGTGTCTATCAAATTGATGTATTAGTTTCAAAAAGGTTGTCCCATGCAATTTTCCCTCGTGAGTAGAACCAAGTGAACTCGTGATTATTTTGGGGTTCAGAATAGGCGTGCCAATTAATGAGTTTGTCGTGTGTCACCGGTGGGGCAGGGTGACCTCGACTTTCCTCGGTGGGTGATCTTTGTTTGTTTGTGATAATTCCTGCGAGGTTTACAACGTGCAGTCGGGCATATATCTATTATGATTATTGAAATGATTTCCTCGCTTTTGTTAACTGCTGATCATTATATATATATTGTCATTATAATCATCATCTAGTGGCTCCAATTTCATGTCAATTTTCCATTGTTAACGAACAATGTAACATAAACAATTTCTATCGTTTGACGAACAGTTGAGTCACGCTATTCAAGTGAAGCAGAAGGTACAGTGAGTGGGTGAGTTAAGATTTAAAGTCACATCGACAATATTTCAGCCATATCGTGACTAAAACTAGATCTAAATTTATAATATACTGAAAGCGATTAAAAACGCAATTGGTATTTGTTGTCCTGAAACTTACAAAAGTTCTATTGAAGATTTGTTCCTGCGATACAGAGGATGTAGGGATAAAAGGCTGTTATTCTGGCCCATTTCGAGTGGCCCATTTCGTCACCCGTACCGTGGTCCAACCTTATTGCATCGCCACAGACTTGCAAGACAGCGATGGGCAGCAAATGGGGCCAAACTTGGCAACAGGACATGGCCAGATGTCATTTTTTCAGATGAATCCAGGTTTAAGTTATCCTGTGCAGATGGACGTCAACAGATTTATCGACGTAAAGGAGAAAGACTTGCGCCAAACTGTGTCCTTGAACATGATGGTTTTGGAGGGGGTGGTGTCATGATCAGACCACAGACCATCAGAGGCTGCAGACCATCCAACAGCTGTTCCTGAGAAATGTGTGTCTTTCAATGCCCCAAAGACTGCGAGCATGTCTTGCAGCGCACGGTGGACACACACGATATTGTCTGCAAGTGACCCCTCCTTTGTATGATGTCGTTGTTGCGTCACTGATGTTGTTGTTGACTGGACATTTTCAGATGAAATTATTCACAGATGTTCACTTAAAACATATCTGCCAGTTAGGTATATATATGTTGAAATAAGTGTGAGTAAAGAAAGTATGAATGTCAAATTGCATTTTTAATGGCTTTCAGTATACATACATATAATATATAAAACCCTGTCAACGAAGGACAGTAAAACCACAGTTAAAACTAGCTAGCATATATC